TCTCTCTCTCTCTCTCTCTCTCTCTCTCTCTCTCTCTCTCTCTCTCTCTCTGTTCCTCAATGTGAAGGTACTGTTAATAATTCAGTGGCTTTCAGATGTACCAAGTCTTAAAGAAAGGTTTGAGAAAAAAATTGTTTTAGATAGAAGTGATCAAAATGAGTATAATAAGGAATGATAGTGACTGTGAATATTCCCTGATGACCTATAATCCAGAAAAATATCATTATCCTACTGTGCTATTCTTTTCAACATGAATTTGAAAGCTGCCTTACATCTTGTGCCTTACAGAATTGTTAATCTGAAGACTTGCTGACGTCATTGAACTGTGATGTTCAGCTGGATTTTTAACTGAAATACTTCTCAGACTGTGAGACGTTGTGATGTGATGTTTGCTGGTGACACATGTGAAGCTTCTGAACTCCCTGACTCCCATGAAGGGGAAACTTATCCTTATAGCTATCTCAAGTCCAAAGAGCCCAAAGGAAAAGGTGGGCTTCCTTGTGAGTCACTACTTACTATGAGCTGTGTTAAGATCAATAAAATAATGCAAGAATATCTAAGAGTCAATACCATGAAAAGGCCCAATAAAGAAAGGGAAAGGCAATGAATGAAACTGTATCTACACTAAAAAAATTCCTTCCTTCCTTCCTTCCTTCCTTCCTTCCTTCCTTCCTTCCTTCTTTCTTTCTTTCTTTCTTTCTTTCTTTCTTTCTTTCTTTCTTTCTTTCTTGCCTTCTTTTCTTCCTTTCATTTAGTTTTCTCTTTCTGTGTTTTTCAGAGGGTTATTTTTGAACTAGGGACTGAACCCAGTACTCTTAGTTACATCCCCAGTCCTTTTCTTTATCTTTCATTGTTACAGAGGCTCTAATTATGGAACTAACTGGCCCAGACTGGGCCAAAACATGAAGTCTACTTAGATCAGCCAACCAGAGCACTGGGATTACAGTGCCATGTGCTATTACACCCAGAAAATTTATGCATTGTTGATCTATTATTATTTTCCTGCCTTGAGTTTAGTGTACAGGAATTATCACTATCTTTTTTGTTTAATTTAGAATGAAAATATGATATATAAATAATGTACAAAAATAGTACTATTTTCCAATAGTATATTATACCTTTCTTTTAAAGCATTTTAAACCAAGAATAGCACACGTTTTATTCCTACAAGAATTGAAAATTTTCCTCAGTCTTTAATCCTCAGTAGCCTTTTGTATGTGTAGTAGTCTTATTTTAATTGTAAAGAAAATCCCACAACTTTTTTTCTAAAGCTGTTGATTTTTCAACATGAAAAAAGAAGTTGAAAGTGGCAATAAGCAATCACCAGTTTTCCCTCCATTTTCAAGCTAAGCACACAGATCCACTGTAACTTAAATGGCAGGACTTCGTATCTGTGCGTAGAATCAGTAAATCAAGATGCATGTGGCACCAGTTGCAAAAATTATTTGCTTTTGTATAGAAAAATTCAATTATTACCATGGATAAAATTATAATTTATTTCTACTTGGGAAATATTAATACCCTTTGTCTTTGGTCACCTTTTTAGTCCCTTCATCTTTCATCCCCAGCTCTCACCAGAAAAGTAGAGGCTACAATAAAATGAAAGAATAGTCATGTGTACAGGGGAGGAGGAGTATGGGAAAGGTGTGGACAAGAACTGGAATCTGAGACATGGTAGTACATACCATAATCCCAGCACTCTGGAAGGCCAAGGCAGGAGGACAGCAAGTTGAAAGCTAGCCTGGGCAATTGAGTGAGACCCTGTCTCAAAAAAAAGAAAGAAGAAAGAAAGAAAGAAGAAAGAAAGAAAGAAAGAAAGAAAGAAAGAAAGAAAGAAAGAAAGAAAGAAAGAAGAAAGAAAGAAAAAAGAAAAAAAGAAAAAAAAAAGCCGAGGGCATAGCTTGGTGTACATATCCAGTACTAAATAGAAACACTAGAATTGCAAAAGCAGGGTTGCCTGGGTGGGACAGTCCAGTCTGTTAGGAACCTGACCTGCACAGGAGAGGCCAAATAGAAAATGGGCTGATGCTTAGGCTGGGGAATCAATGAGAAGACACTGGCATGCAGGTGTCTCCCACTCCTTTGATCTCCCCAGACCCTATACTTGCAGTACATGACTTTCATCACTCTGCTTCACTCACACAGGATGTGTACGGCCGTAAGCAGGCACCTAGCAACACCTAGCATAGACATCTAGCAGTCTACCACCAGAAGCAGGCAGCCAGCAGCAGCTCTCAGGGTCTGAAATGTCAAACTCTGAGCAGTCTTGGGGAAGATGTGTTTTTTGTAACAAGCAATGTGAGCACAGGCTGGTTAGGAGTTTGTGTCCTGTCATTGTCACACACTACAGACTCTGCCACCCTATTAGGCAGAATTACTCTTTCCCAGAGAAACTCTTCCAGGAGTTGCCCGAGGCATCTGGTTTTAGGCTGCTGAACTCAGATCTAGAAAAATATCCCTGTGTGGGCTGAACTCAGACTTCCTGAAGAATAATACTCTCTGTGCAGTGTGTCACAACCAAGTGAGAACCACACCATGTGGTTTGGTGTGTGCTACTTTCCAAAAAGAAGAAAGCTTTACCAAAGCTCTCAAATGGTAGAGTTGGTTTTATCTCCAGAAAAAAGAGCTGCAGAAATGTTAAAGTTCCCATTGTAGCAGAGTTCCATCACTCTGCTTGAGGCTTCCCCTGTCCATCCCACTGCTTGAATATACAGTGAGTGTTGCAAATGGCTCTCTTCCATCTTTTTCTTCAGGTTCCGATTATGTGATGACTGGTGCCTACCAATATGGATGCTGAGATTTAAATACAGAAGGCCATTTCATTTTTTTAGTAGGACAGTTATAATAATTAATACATTGCATATTTTTGTCTTCATAGTAGTTATTCATAGTACAAGATGCAGACATGATATCCTAGCCAAACACTATTAGTACAAATCTTCCTTCTCATTGAATTAAAAGAAAGTAGCTGTATAGCTGTCTTAACTATTTTGGGAATTTAAGAGTTTGATTGATTATAGATTTTAAATCTATCTCAGAGTCTGTGGATTGGTGGTATTGCTTTCTGTATTTCCACTATGCTCTTATCTCTCTCCATGTAAGCTGTGAATGCTATGTGGCAAGGGTCTAGGTGGAAAGAGGCAGTGTGGATTGGTGGTTATGCTCTCACACTGCAGAGACAGACTTTTTGTGGCCAAAGCTCAGCTTTGCCACCTGCTGTGTATGTTGACAGTGACCTAGGGGACCTCCAAATGATATAGGGGAACAAATGAAACTCCTGACCTGAAAAGTACCTGGGAAGAGTTCATGTTCTCTAAAACAGAAGAATGAAAGCTTCTGTCAGAGACAGAGACAGAAGGGGGGCCCCAGCAGTTTGCCTGCAGGAAGCTGTCTCTTCCAGAGATTTTATAGAGGAAACCCATGCAGTGAGGTGAGTCTAAGGTGGTGGAGAACGTGGGGACTTGCTTAGGTGGGCATGAGGTGGGACTAACTATGGTCAGCCAATGAGATAAGGAACACTACTGTTCAAGTAAAATTGATTAAATCCAGTACCAAATGGGGAAGTGAGTCACGTAGCAAGTGGGCATGAATGTGGGACAGGGTTTCTTTCTTTCTTTTTTTTTTTTTTTTTTAGAATGCAATTTTTTTTATTCACCAATAAACTAAAAGCCTATTTATGGGTGTTTCTTCCTCACATATACTTCATTTGTTTTAGGAAAAAGCAAAGCCTTATAAGTGGCAACCACCTAGTTCTCAGACTCTGATCCATCTTCATCTTGACTAATCTGGAAGTATTGGAGTTCGTAAGTCTCTTTGTCAGATGCAACCACGCGAAGCCAGTCACGAAGATTATTCTTTTTAAGATACTTCTTGGTAAGATATTTCAAATACCTTTTTGAGAACTGTTTCTCGGAAACGACTGTGATCTTATTCTTGAAACGTTCAATGTGAACAACATTCCCAAGGTTTCCAGTTTTTCCATTGACTTTAACCTTCTCCCTCAGAAACTGTTCAAAATTTCCAGAATCAAAAATTCCATCTTCTATTGGATGGGTTTCTTTCTATTGCAAGTTGGGTTAGTGACTCATTTGGGCTCTTTTAAGGTGGTTGATACCTATTTAGAATATCAGTCCCTGATGCCCCTCCCTAAGGAAGTATGTAGCTGTATGTTTCCTCTTTTGTCTTGAGGTCTGGTCCATACAGGAGTATCTGTCTCTTCCAAGTTGCAAAGTCACCTTGTCTTCCATATTGTCTCTTTAAGGGCCTGGCCCTGTCTGATTGTCTATAATATTTCTATCTAATTCAGCTGCCTATAACATTCACCCCTCTGAAGAAGTAACCTGAACTGCCATGAGGGAAACGTGGGTGATAACTGCTCTGGCTTCTTCAGTCTGAAAGTGTTGTAGTTTTTGACTGGCAGCCCAAGATACTCTCCAGTCTAAAGGCTCTCAATAAACACCAGGCATTTTTATCTTGGGTAGGGGTGTAAGTTTGAATCTGGAGGTGACAAAACCAAAGAAATAATTAAACACGCATGGGTCAAATAATAACAGGATAATTATGAATATCGTCAAAGATTTGTATCAAGTAGACAGTAATGTCTTCCCATAAAAAAATTAAAGATAGCGTCCAGGAGACCTCAGCATTTTATATACCATTGATTTTATATCTAATATTTTGAACAGCTGTTGCAACATTAGCAGAAGGATCTGGGATATAATGATCTTTCATAATTTTTAATTATAAAATGACTAGTTAGAACTTTTTGTAGGTACATTAGCAGAGATCTCTTAAACATGGGATTTAATCCCTTATTTTTAATCTTGCATGGCCATTGAGTATTGTCTCAAACAAACTGTTCAGCTCTATTTCTACTGGGGTCACATGAATTACCAGACCTAGGGAAAACAGTGAGAACTCTCCAGGTGGCAACTGGGGCTACTGGCTGGGCAACTACTGATGTCTGCATGAGCATTTATTAAAAGTTTAACAGACTTTCTCCTTATCTTGGCAGTTAACACAGGTTCCCCTCTCAGGTTAAAAGGGGATGACCCATGACCACCTCAATCTGAAATTTCCTCTGGTTCCATCATGAAGACTTTTTTCCCTTCTCTAGAAGCTTTGGACATTTTTGCTTGAAATGTCTTTTCTCTATGACTGGATCCAGGGAAGCTTTACCTTTTTCCCCTGTTTCCTGACTGGCCTTCATTCCTGTATACTGCTAGTAACACTATTCCCATTTTCTGTCTATCATTTCATTGTGTATCTTTTCTACTATGAAACACCTCAACTCAAATTCAATCCTGCAAACCCCTCTAACTTCTGCAGCTTGTGTCAGATATCTGGGGCTCACCAAGCAAGATACAACTTTTTGGTTTTAAGGCCTCATGCAGGCATCCCTGTCCAGTGAATGTGAGGGCAACTTCCCTGTAGAGGATTTCTAGATATATGACAGGAATGCCTGAGAAGGCTCAGCTCACTTGGGCTGTATGAATTGGACAGTTAAGGCCTTAATATATCTCTATAGATAAATTTTGGTGGATCCCAGTAAAAGGAATCCTAAAGTAATCTAGCATATTTGCTATATTCTTTACCTGTATGATCACTTGGGTTTTGATATCTTCTAGGAAAGAACAAATTTTCTGAGAGATTAGAACATGTTTAATCAAAGCATGAGCATTTGAACTAACAGGTAAATTTATAAATTTTGGGGGCATAGCAATTGTAACTCAATAGCTCTTAGACCTCTTAATTTATGGAGTCTGAGAATTTGCTCTAAGTCCCTCTAGCTTTAGTTAAGAGGTCCTACCTCTATTTACTATCAACATGAAATACCTGAGTTACATCAGAAATCAATCCGATGAACTTATACACTTCTCATGAAATACATGGCATTCAATCAGATTAAACCAATGTCCCATTCAATGTATTAGTTATTGTAAGCAAGGGGTACTGCTGAAGGAATTTTTTCTCTTAACACTGAGGCTGAGTTTTATGTCACAAATATAAGGCCTGGCTCTATATATAGGCCCAAAGCTATTAGACATCTTTGAGCCAGTGTCTTTAGAACTTTATGGAAAAAAAAAGAACTTTATGCTGACAGGATTTAATCTGTTCTTGGGTATCTGTTTTAACTAGTGAAATACTTTTTAAGTCTTATACATAAACAACATATATATTACATTTGTAAAAAATCAATCTCAGCAACATTTTGATTAGTAAGCAACCTGAATATGTACTGCAGTATCTCAGTTATAGATAAAGCAACTTGGCTTCTAAAGTCTGTTGTTACTGTGGTATGATGACTGGAAGGAAGGTCAGGGTTGAAGAAAGACAAAGAGACCTGTGCCAATGTCCAGCAATAGGCTCGGTTTTGCTTTTGTCATGATTACTCAGGGCTCCTCCATGGAGATGACAGGTAGAGATGTCAGTCTGGCCAGAGGGAGGAGACAGTTCCAGGGCCCTTCAGTCCTACTGGACCATCTGGGAAACTGAGTCTGAGCTCTGGGACCTCCACCTCAGAGTGCAGTCTCACTTCCAGTAGCTGCGTTGGCAGTCAGAGCATGGCTTGTGGAGCCTCTTAAGACAGTCCCTCTTATTATGTCCTGGCTTCTGATAGCAGAAGCCGATGAACCTCATCATTGTTGAGCTCTTCTTGGAACTCAGAGAATCAGACTTAGCATCTGTTCTGAGGCCATAACAAAAGCAGCTATTTTTTATCTCTTTGCTTTCTCTCCTTAGTTTTCTCCCAGTCTTGATTATAGGACACTAAGAAACCATTTTTACTAAAGTATCCAGTTGTATAAACTGAAATTTATCTTTTATAACTTGTGTCTAATATCTGGAGCTGATTGCTTAATGAATTTATATGTAAGAATAATCTGTCCCTTTATTGAACATTCTAACAAAGCTGAGGCAGTATTCACCTTTCTTCTAGTAAATAGCTAAAATTTAAAATAACTAGAAGGCTTAGTTCTAGTTCTTAGACTTTCAAGAATGCACACTTGAAAGAAAATGTCTTTAGTTTTCCTTCCTGGCTATTAGGCCAGCAAGGGTCTGACTATTTGGGCTTCAGTGGGAACAGGTAGTTCCACTGGTTGTATATCTCTTGGCTCTTTATAACAATATGATATTTATCTCAAAATATAATAGCAGCTTGTTATGATGTCTTTTACTAGAAGTTAAAGCTTGGTTTAAGATTAATATTATATCATTCCAATCTGGTTCATAAGTTTAAGTCCTCTTAAGACATCAATGTGCTTATCAGTGTCATCTAAACTTTTTCCAAGATCTGTCTTTACCCATTGTAGGTCATAGACAAAAAGGCTCATGAACTCTGGAAATTCTAAATTGCCTGTTGATTTCTTTAAAGATACCATTCTTGAAGAACTTGCATAAATTCAGCTAAGGGAGGGTGTATCCTTGTAGAGACCTGGAATTTAGCTGTTCTAGAGACCATCCTTTAGAAAGACAAATATGGGAAACCTTCCTTTCAGTAATGGAGGGCAAGGCTATGATTAAGACTGTCTGGTCCTTAGGCTCCAAAGGTTAGGGAGGAGCAGCCTTAGGCTCTGGGATAGTGAATGCCTCAGGCGCCTGAACTGCCTGGTTCTCCTGTAACTCACATCTACATTTCAAAACTAGATAAAAATGACTTTCTTAATGCAAACCAAATCTAGACATAAGACATTTTTTGCCACCTTGATTTTTACAGTATCGTTCTCATTGTAAAACAGTGTCATAATTGATACTTGCCTATGCATTCCATTTTGGCTCTGTGTGTATATAGGCTATGCACACATGCAGAAAAAATATTAAACAGTAGTTTTTCAGTGTGCATGGATCAAATGTCTTCCAGTGCCTAATGATGCACTCTAAAGGAGTAAGAGACTTTGACTCCGAGAGTCCCATAATCTGGAATGCAAAAAGAGAGAGTTCTGCATGTCTCCACCTCACCTCTAATTGATTCCCCCTCAAGATGTCCCATTAGTAGACCACCCCAGAGCAGGTAGATGCTCTTGGAGAGTGGGGAGACAAGATCAGATCAGCCTATCCACCCTCAAACTTGCATGCAATTTTGTCTCCCGAGAATCTCACAAACCGTAAATCGTGCGCCTACTCTTATTGAATATTTGTAAATATGTTACAATTGGTCTGCCTATGGTAATGTCTACATAAGGAAGCATCACGATTGTATAAAATAGTGTGTTGGAAGAAGAGCGCTTTCTCTGCTGTACTGTACAAGAGATCACCTTTGGAGGTAGACAAAATAGACAATTTACTGGAGGAACTTTGCCTTGGGCCTTAGGGCAAATAAATCTCCAAGACACTAGTGTTCTTCCATCTGGTCACAAGGGCAGCCTTTCCCACAAGGAAATATTAATATTAGGCTATATTAAATCTTTGGTGCTCACAGGTAAAACTTACATTTATTATCTAGCCATCACATTTTATATATTGGTAAAAACACATTACTTTAAGGCTCACAAACACCTTTCTTAATCTTAGTTACATATAAGGCACAGGTGTGAATTATTCCCATAATAGCTGCTATAGAATGTAAACTATTTCAAGCTGCCTCAGCCTAATTTGTGTAGTAGTAGCTTATTAAAGGATTCTACTTAAAAGCTTAGGTATAATTCCAAGTTTACTAGGAGAAAGAGAGAAAAAATACAATAAGTAAGTGGAGATATTTCATTGGTCAGGAGCCACTTTCCACCAAGCACCTTTAGGTATCTCCCAGAGTAGCCCTGGCCATGACCCCATAGATGTTTCAGTTTCTATTGACCCATACAACCAGAGATCATTCTCTGGAAAGGAATTGAGCTGTCTCTCTGGTCACGATTGCATCAACCATTGGCTTCAACCAAGATTGAACAAAGAAGGGCTGGGGAAACCCATGATTCAAAGAGTGGCAGCTGCTCTAAGAGCATTTACTAGATGTCAGAGTAACTACTGTTTGTCCAAATTCTATAAGGAATTGCTAAAAGCCTGAACAAGATTACCTAGCACCTTATAGTAAAGGTTTTAAAGTCTGAAGCTCTTATGTACCTAAACAATTAGGCCAAGGGGAAAATGTTGAGATCCTCCCTTATACTACATGTATTTTGGTCCCATGAGTGTGATGCTTTTGGAGATAGCTCCTTCTGATGTCATCCAGAAGTTGGCTCTCTCCACTGTGTCTCAGGCTTAGCTTTCTGAAGGAGACATTTCCAAAACTCTAAGCCAGGACATGGCTTTTATATGTGTCCTCCTGGAAGGGCATGGTATTTTTTTGTCTCAACTGACCCAGAGATGGGGTATATGTCCTTTTTCTAAAATGACTTCCCTATCTTCAGCCTTAACAATTCTCTTTTTCTAAGAGCTTCACTTAGTTGGAGCAATTTATATCATTTTCCTAACTTTACATGTCTCTAAAAAGGAAAGTAGAAAGAAGTTGGAAAATTAGTACTAAGGTCAAAGAAAGGACACTGAAACAGAGCAGGCCTGACAATTTCTCTAGCATGTAGAGGGGGAATCACAGCCAGTCTGTCCCAGTGAAACCCATCCTTCAAGTCTTTAAGAATGGTTGCTGACCTAATGTCATTTAATTGGCAAAAGGAATGTCATGTTTTATATACAGGCATGTAGATTTTCTAAGTTTGAGCTAGGATTTAAAAGTCCCATTTTACAGAAGTTTACATAAAGTCTACTAGGAGGCTTACTGATGTTACTCTCTCTAGTACTATTGTCTAAAGTCAAGCAAGGAATATCAGGACATTTAGTAACTAGTTCAAACACAACAGATAAAAGTATAAAACAGTCATAAAATGTCCCATTAGAGAAATATTGTAAACTTGCAACATTTCCATGTAGATTTACCAACAACATTTTCATCATATTTTAACAAAGCCATATAAGAGGCAAAGCATAAGCAATTTTAAGCAACATTAACCAAACTGTGAGACAAAACCGTATGATGTAAAACATGAACAATTATGAGCAATGAGCAAAGACATATCAACATTTGAAGTATAAAAAATTGTTACCTAAGCAAGTCCCAATCCAGAATCTATGAAATAAAAGCAAACTCCTACCTCCAGTCAATGATTTCAGTGGAAACCTCCAAATGATATAGGGGACCTCCAAATGATATAGGGGAACAAGTGAAACTCTCAACTTCAAAGGTACCCGGGACAAATTTGTGTTCTCTAAAACTGAAGAATGAATTTTAGAAACAAAAGGAGATTAAGAGTAGAATACATTGATTGGGGGAAAGAAAGCTTCTGTCTGAGAGAGGGACAGAAAGGGGTCCCAAGCAGGTTGTCCCCCCAAAATATTTCTTCTTTCATGGCTGTTTCCAGTCAATGATGGAACTTGAAAAAGCATAATAAATATATTTCCATAGTCAATAGAAATATGTCCAATATTAGAAAAGGATTATTAAGCTAATTTCACTAAAAATCTCAGGGGTAACAGGAGGAATTTTATTTCATTTTTCAAGGAGTAATCCACCCCATTGTTTTAAACTGTGACACAGGACATGAAATTTAGACAGTAAGGCAACCCAAAGAAAAACTTAAATAAAAGTAAAGAGTGCTTTAAGTTATACCCTAAATATGGGGAAGATTTAATTTTACTTTAAACTTCAAGAACATGTAAAAATATTGCTATAATTTGTCCCTAGCTTTCACTAATATTCTGCAATCTGCTTCTCATTTTAACTTTCCTCATAGAAACGGCCCTTACCTCTCTATCAAAAGAGATCATTGTACAAATTATAATGGGAGCTAATAAAAAAAATGGCTTCATGGAGTGTAGATTATTCTTCAGAGAAGTGAACCTAGTAGTTGAGGATGAACCATTTAAGCTTATAAATGAAATTTAAATTGCAAATGTAAACTATCAGAAGGAAACACCTGTATAGTTTCAATCAGGCTTCCACTGATTTTTAACCAAATCAATAAATTGTAGCAGGACAATGAATTTGCAACACACAATCAAAACAAATAAGCACTATCTTCTTATTATCATAAAAGCAATAAAAAGGCTTGCACAGCATTCTTCCCTTAATTTGTCTTTCACTCTGCACCATAAAGATAACAAAGTGCTGCATTTCCAAAGAACATATTGTTTTACTCTGTATGTTTTTCATCACTGAAGTCTGGAGAGTATTGTTTTTTAATTTGCTGATGGAATCCATCAATTAGAATTAGTCTAAATGGTGTGGGAGGATAATGACAGTGGGTAGGAAAAAGTAAAGCAATGTGTAGCATGAATTAATGGGCCTTTTATGGGATTTCTCATTGGATTCATAGATGAGCTGATCTGATGCGTAAATAACTTATGAGTATGTCAAAGCTTGGGAAGGCGAATATGGTTAAAGTAACCTGATTAGAGATGCTCATATAAGAGAGACAAAAAAAAATCTCAGTGATTAACTGTCATTAAAAATGTATATATTTATATCATTTCTAAAAGAGCTTTTGTTGTCCTTGGATTTATGATCTCAGTGTCAGCTGAACAAAGGTTATTTCTGCCTGCCAGGCATGGTACATAGTTTAAGGACTTTCACTGATGCAAACTTTATGTGTTATCTTGATTCCTCCATCAGAATAAACTTTACTTTTTCTTACATATTTCTGGCTGTGAGATTCTGGTTATGCAGTTGGATGATAGTGGCTCAGGAACAAAGGTCCCCTATTGATTAAGTTCTGATTGAAAGTGCTTTTTGCCATACCTAGAATCATAGGGTTGTGATGCTCATTGAAATGTGCAATGGGTCTAATTCTAATGTGGCTCTGTAAATTGGAAATCATACAGGTCTCCCTAGTGTAGCATTGGCAGAGGAACTCATCACCAAATTTAAACTATTTTCTCACTGGTCTATGCCTTGAACTAGAAAATTCATTTATAACAAAGAATGTAATTCTTTCCTAAGAATAGAAATGGCACACAAAAGTGGAAAATTCTAAAACACCTTGGTGTTTAAACTACGAGACATGACTTATAATAAATATATTGTTATTGTTAGGCAAAATAAGGAAACAGTTTTGTAGACGGCTAAGATAAAAAATGGAACAGGTAACCTGCAGTGTTTATGTCTCAGAGTGCCCAATCTAATATAAAATAGCCTTATCTATATACATTTTCAGTCTGACTAAGTTATACAGCAAGACTGCAAATGAAAAAAAGGACCAGTTTGAAGAATCTCTTCTCCTGACACTCTCTCTCTGCCTATATATAATGCCAACAATGCTCCTCTTCATTTCCTACGTGCCTTAAAACAGATCTTCTCTGGATAACAAATAATTCTTACTTTCTGATGGGAAAAGATTATTTATAAATGCAAATGAAATTAATACATGATGACATTTAACAAATAGATCATCACTTTGTG